CTCTGAAGATGCGAATAATTCAGATGAAGATAGAAACGTTGATAATTATGAGATCTCAATAAATTACGTTTCTACGGGATTGCAATGGAACAGAAAAGATGTTCATGTTGATGATATATTCGCATATGCCATTGCCACAAACATCATGGATGAAAATGATGACATTGAGCCAACTTCAGTTGATGAATGTCGACGTAGACATGATTGGCCAAAATGGAACGAAGCAATTCAGGCAGAATTGAAATCACTTGAAAAACGAAGTGTTTTTGGGCCTATAGTTCCTACGCCAAAAGGCGTGAAACCAGTTGGTTTCAAATGGGTTTTTGTGCGCAAGCGCAATGAGAAAAATGAAATTGTGAGATATAAAGCCCGACTCGTTGCCCAAGGTTTTTCTCAAATCCCGGGGATAGATTATGAAGAAACTTATTCCCCAGTAGTTGATGCAACTACGTTGAGATTTTTGATAGGCATGTCTGTCTTTGAAAAACTTCAAATGCGTTTAATGGATGTAGTGACGGCATATTTATATGGATCTCTCGATACTGACATATATATGAAAGTTCCTGGAGGCCTTAAATTGCCTGAGGTTTATAGTTCAAAACCTCGAGAGATGTTTTCCATAAAATTGGAAAAGTCACTATATGGACTAAAACAATCTGGCAGAATGTGGTATAATCGTCTCAGTGAATATCTGCTCAGAGAAGGATACAAAAATGATCCAATTAGTCCATGTGTTTTCATCCGTAGATCTAGATCAGGCTTTGCCATTATTGCAGTATATGTTGATGATTTAAACATAATTGGAACATCTGATGAAATAAAAAATACTGCAAAATATCTCATGAAAGAATTTGAGATGAAAGATCTTGGGAGAACAAAATTCTGTCTTGGTCTTCAAATCGACCATTTGAAAGACGGAATATTCATCCACCAGTCAAATTACACGAAGAAGGTTCTGAAGCGGTTTTATATGGATAAAGCACATCCTCTCACATCCCCGATGGTTGTCCGCTCTCTCAATGTACATGATGATCCGTTTCGACCTCGTGAAGATGATGAAGAAATACTCAGTCCAGAAATACCATACTTGAGTGCTATTGGAGCTTTGATGTATCTAGCAAACAACACTCGACCAGATATTGCATTCTCAGTGAACTTGTTAGCCAGACACAGCTCGACCCCGACTAGGAGGCATTGGAATGGAATTAAACACATTTTGCGATATCTCAATGGTACCATCGACCTTGGTTTATTCTACCACAAAGATGTCAAGGCCACTCTTGTTGGATACGCTGATGCAGGATATTTGTCTGATCCGCAAAAGGAAAAATCTCAAACAGGATATGTGTTTACTTATGGAGATACCGCAATATCATGGAGATCGATGAAGCAAACTTTGACTGCCACATCATCAAATCACGCGGAATTGATTGCTCTCTACGAAACAGGTAGAGAATGTGTATGGTTGCGATCAATGATCCAACATATCCAGAGCAGGTGCGGCATAGAAACAATCACTAGTCATCCGACTCCTATATATGAAGACAATATTGCATGCATTGCTCAAGTGAAAGGAGGTTACATCAAAGGAGACCGAACAAAGCATGTATCACCAAAGTTTTTCTCAACACATGATCTCGAGAAAGAAGGAAAGGTTGACATCAAGCAAATTAAGTCCAGTGAGAACCTCGCTGATTTATTTACAAAAGCGTTGCCCCCAAAGAAATTTGAAGAACTCGTACACAAGATTGGCATGCGTCGCCTCCATCAATTATGCTAAGCTGAGGGGGAGAATTTTATGAACTGTACTCTTTTTCCCTTGATCAGGTTTTTATCCCACTGGGTTTTTCCTGACAAGGTTTTTAACGAGGCAGTACATAAAATTAGAATGGGTTACTAAACTATGCCCATTTACGAAGTACCCATCATTAATTGAAAAATGAACATTCAAGGGGGAGTGTTATGAAATTAATGATTGTTCATTTATTCAATTAATCAGGCCTACTTTCTAGAATAGTAGATTAAGACACCCATTGATGAGTATCAATTTTGTACATTCCTTCCCACTTATATTTGTATTCATACTAAGGCTCTCCACTATAAATAGAGGCTTATTCCCTGCATTGTAATCACCATTAAGAATAAGAAGAAGAGTGAAGAGTTAATAGAGAGAAGAAATCAGAAATATATTATATCTATTCTCATAATCTCTGAGTAATTTTTCTCTCACTTTATAACAAGTTCCGATTTTTGTCCACTTCTAGTTGGAGCATTTGAATAATGATTTAAACCAATGTCGGGCCATGAGTTAGGTTCTTTTGTTGGGTTTATATGGCCGAGCATTTTTTTAGTCATTAGCTTATTGGGCTTTTTTCGCTTTGCCGTTTTATTTTCTGGTCAGTAATTGCAACTTGAGTTGTTAAATCTAATATATCCCCAACTTTTCAAAAAAAAAATATATTAGGGAGTACTTGGTTGGTTTCATAAAATAAAAACAAATACATTTCATATACTTTTAAAAAGTGTTGAAAAATAAAACGCAGAAAATTAAAAATTTTGTAAATAAAAAAAATCTATGAGCCACATGTTCAATTCCTTGAAATGAAGTAACATATGAAGTGGAGTACTGCGTACTTTTTAGATATCCAAATAAACTTGAGTATGCAATTGGAGGGGTGTGGGTGAGTTTGGACCGGGGTGGGATGGGGGTTTAACGGGGTTAGAGGAGTAGAAATTGTCAATTTTACGAGCGGGCACCATAGGACTCCCGGATAATCCGTAGGCTCCTGGGTCATCGTAAGGCTCCTGGGTCATCCCATAGAAACCGATGTGAAGAGGAAAAATAGAAAGTTTTTCATCCACTAAATATTCTCCTATTTTTCAAATAAACCCCCTACAGTGTAATTTATATCACAATAATAACATTTCAAATAGCAACAATTACAAACAAAAGGCCTCTTACTCTTGATTTTATGTTCTTTTTAGGGGCTTTGTAGCTTCTTTAAGATCATCAAGCAAACACCCCAAAAAAACCAACAATATACAATTAATTCTAATCCTCCAAAACCTGGAATTTGATGACAGGATAAGAGCCTCTTCCAGGCCTTTGAGAGCTGCATTTGAACTTCTTTCTTCTCCATGTGTTCCAGCCAGTCTTCAATTCTGCGATTCGTTTCATTCACTTCTTCGCATTTTAACATTTAATGGTACTTCTTTGTATGAGTTGACCTTCATGGCTGCTTGTCTCGAGGGTCTGGTTACATTTGATGGTCTCCTTATTTCCTTCGCTTCGATTTGAGAACTTCTTTCAATATTCTCTTGGGAAGGATCACAATCACTTGGTTGAGGAACCGACAAGTGAGAATCATCCATCTGAAACAAATCTTCTTTGGCTTTGATCTCTTCATGCTTAAGCCTAGAAGATTGCCTTCTTGACGAAAGCCTGAAAAAACATAATTTTTGAAAGGCAAACACTAGGATGAAAGATGCATTACATCTTAATATAAGAGCTGTACCTTTTTCTTTCGGTGTTAGCGCAGGACTGCCCCTGTTTAGATTGTTTTGAACCTACATTGGGAGGGAAAAGATGCATAAACTTAGGGAGAAAAATTATAAAGAAGCCACTCAAGATCAACTTTAATGCCGAGATGAAGTGTAAATTTGAGACCTAAATAAACACTCACTCTTTGACTGTCTTCTCCTCTTGGTATTTTCAAATAAGCTTTCTTCTTTATCTTCATCTTCCTTAAAGTTATCCACTGTGTCCTCCATTTTAATAAGTTGCCCCTGAAGGTGATTCAGAGAGGTAAAAAAGCATTACCCACATTTCATTACAATATTATCTAAAACGGAAATTCATGAATTAAATTCATACCTTGGGAATTAAATTTTGGAGGTTTTCTGATTCTGGATTCTGCTTATTATGCTGCCAAAGATAAAATTAGTGATATAGCAATACAATAATCAAAATTAATGGGACAACAGTATACCAGACCAACCTCGGCTTCTAATTTCATGGCTATAAGCAATCCATTTTTGCATCCAAGCTCGTGTTCTAATGCTCTTAACTGATACCAATCAAATATCACAAATGTTACATCAATGCAAATTAGATTCCAGGATCTGATTTTTTTATGGTGATACGAGGCACCCGTCCTTACCTTGTCTCTATATGAATTAAGTTCCTGCAGAAAGAAAGAAAGCGTCACATATACTCTGCAAATCATATTGGGTTAATAAGTATTTTGATTAACTTTAACACGGGTAAAGGAAAACAAACTGCAAGCTTCTGTGTGTTTGATTGTGCAAGTTGATGGTTCTGTTGCTGCATTCTCTGCAGATTTGCCCTCAGTCTCTGTATCTCATTTCCAGTCATATCAATAAGCTTACTAATGGATAACAGTAATGGAAAACTTCATGAATAGAAGAACTGAAACCTACAAGTAAGATGAACCCAATGTCTTTATCTACATTTAGCCCCAAATATAAACACGAGAGAGCAACATGCCAACGATTTATTAAAATATAATATTAGGATACACTCTTTCCAATAGTGCATTCATCAAAGCCTTATTTTCCTGCACACAAAAACTACAGATAAATTATCCGGAGAGGACACGCCCAAATTTCATGAAGTGTGCATATCACATGTTTACGACTTCAAAAGTGAAAAGATGCTTACCCGCTCAAGCTTTTCAATAATCTCTTTCATCTCCGTAGGTATATCTTTAACCTTCAGGTTTTCTTTAGATGGCCTTATATGTTGTGGCAATTTACTAATATCTGCAGCCCTTCTCTTTATTGCATTGCCGAAAACAGTTTTTGCAGCTCCTGCTATCTTGTGTTCTCCTTCAATATAAAAAAGGAACTGTGTGAATCATACCACAAGAAGAAGAAGAGAACCCCCAAACACATCTATATCTTCAATTTTCAAAACTGCCACATTAAAGCAGCTGACATCACACATTCAAGTATTCAACTACATTCGGTTTAAGAATTCAACAATTTCATAGTTCAACCATAATTAAGAGGCCTTCGGAAACAGCCAACAAATTATAACGCTTGAACATTAATGCCACAAAGCAAAAATACGTAGTGATCTTAAATTCAGAAAAAACTCCATAAAACTGCAAATTCCTCAACTCTCGACTGAAAATCACCAACTCTCACATAAAATTAGTTCATTTGAAATGCAGTTGTGCATAAACCCTAAACTGAAATGGCTCAGTCGCACAACCAAAATTACATGCCAACAACAAACATGACTACATAAAGCCTAAACGAAGTACAAAATCGATAAAAATTATGCTGATATTGGATGACTGGGGATGGAAATTAAGAGACGGATTACCTCCAGCATGATCGGTCTTCTCCGAGTTCGCCAAACAATCCATTTCTCACATCGATGTAAAATCCTAAATCTCAGTCTCTGTGAAAATGCAGACACGACTTGCGGCGTTTGGTTGCAGGAACAGAGCGGAGATGCGCCGGAACTGGGAAGGTGGAGCGCCGCTTGCCGGAACCAAGTTACTGCAAATTTGAATTTCTTGGCGATATACTTGGTTTATTTCACCCATAAAAAAAATTGAAAATAAAATAGGCAAGTCTGAAAAGTTGGCACCATGTGTGGTGCTGTGTCCTAATAGTATTTGAAAAATACTCCATCCGTCCCACTGTCTTTGTCCACTTACCTTTTGGCACACCATCCAATGTACTTCTTTAATCCATTTTATCTTGTAATTTGTATATTAAAAAATTATAAAAATTATATATTAATAATCTATATGTTAAGACGAATCAAACAAGATCACACATGACTATTTTTAGGCTTACACATTGAGAGAATTTGATGAGTCAAAGTGCTCAGATGAACAGTTCCAAAAGTCAAAAGTGGACAAAGACAGTGGGACGGAGGTAGTATTTTTCATTAATAAATTTGATAGTGAATTCTCGTCATTCTAATTAGGTACTCCCTATTTTTTTCAAATTAGTAATCAATAAAAAATACTCCGTTACTAAGATGATTCTTTATAATTTAGATTTATTCCTTAAATGATCCTTTACCGTTAATATTTATTAAATGTCTGTCAAATAAAAGTATGTTCTTGGAAGTCGAAATGCTCTTTTATAATTAAGTCACTACTAAAAAACTGGGATAGAAGGACATAATTTGATGACACCTAATTTGTAAAATGTCCTTAAAAGTTATTAATGACACTTCTAGATGTCTAATTTAATTAGCTCGTTGTTGGGCTTTTGAGCACTTGCGTAGTAGCCCATCCTTATCAGACCCTTACCCGTTTCATTTTCTTCTTTCTTCATCGAGAGAGAGTCTGAGATCCGAGATGCGAGAGAGCCTTTGATTATAGATGCAAGAGAAGATATGTGATCTAAGATGCGAGAGAGAGAGAGTCTATGATATGAGATGCGAGAGAGTGTGACAAAGCTTGCCCTCTTTATTGAGCACAACCTCAAGCTAAGCCCGAGGAAACGACGGATCTAGAAGATGTAATGTCGCAAGAAGAACAGAGTCGCTGGGTTGAATTTTTTTAGCTACGAAGTCGAAACTGAATAGAGTACCATGGATTCAAGGGTAAATCTCTCAATCTAGGTCAAATAATCCATTTTACAACCTTTTCTTGTTGAATTTATGAATTGGATCGTGTAATTTCTGACAATTTGTTTGAATTGATTTATATGCTCCTGTAACAATTGAATTTATAGTTTGATTTTTATATATTTGTTTAATTGATTTATATGTTCCTGTAACAATTGAATTTATGAATTGGGCTGTTAAGGATTTTAAATGTTGCTGTTTCGAATCTAATATGTGTTGTGTGTGTTTGTTGTGTTGTTATTGAATTGAAGCACTTTTATTTCTTTATTTGAGGTCAATGAAAATATGAGATCAGATTTTATTGTGTGGCATGCTTGTTTAGATTCTCTTTAGTGTGTTTTGTGCTATAGGTTTTTCTTTGACTAGTTTACTTTATTATTTATGTTTGTGCTAGGATATTTTATACGAATTAATTTCTATTATTCTACATTCTTCTCTTTGATGTAAATGCCTTTTTAGATTCCATGTATTATTTGGTGTTGTAGTGCTTGTTGCTGTAATAAAATTTGGTTGCTCCACCTTAGAGGAAATTATGGAAATATTGTGTGTGGTTTGGAGGGTGTATTTTGGCCTATCTTAGTACATTCAAGCAGGTATCCACCCACTCTACACATTTTTTTATCATGCATTATGGATGTGCTCACTATTCTAACACTTTTTAGATCACTGGTTGTGCTTTGTCAAGGTACTTTACAATTCTCTGATGGGCTTAGTTTTTCGTATCCTGAATTGGTTCTAGGTGTGGATAACAACGGTGGAGTATGATGAATCTGCCTTCAATCGTTCACAAAATTCTTCTAAACAACACGGTTTGCTCTTTTCCCTGTCTCTTTACATGCCAAGAGTATTTGATCATAATTTTCTTCATATATACATGTATGAGAGTTGAATGTTATTCCTTTTAAATAAAAGTTTTGATATGTTGTGTGGAAAACAAAAAAAATCATGAAGGGAGGTTTACGGATACAGAGGACATGGTAAGATAGTATCTTGCTCTTGATTTAGGCAAGTTTTGCTACACTGCTCAACTCTACAACCACGAGGTAGTACATCATTTTTGAGTGTGATTGCTATGGGTCACTAAAATTGAATATGGTTGAGCGTCTTATTTAATTGATTGCTAGAGTAAATTGCCAATACCTTTCATGCGAACAAGGGGAAATTCTCATCTATTGTCATGTTTTCCAGGTTTGACGTATACATGAATATTATCTGGATCCACTATTGTAACTATGGACCAAAAATGAGGGGTATTATTCGGCATCTAGATATGGTAAAAAAATATGTATAACTTTTATCCATGTTTCAGATAGCATTTCTACTTATTTACAAATCAGAATTGAACATTTTAAAAGTGTTGTCCATGGAGAATAATTATTTCAATCCCTCCCTTACTCTACACTTTTTTCATTTTGACGAGGACATAAGGATACATGATACATGAAGAGATGGGAGAAGTTGGAACAAGTGTTGATCTGGGAGAAGCTGCTGCATGGATTGCCCTCAAGTGCTTATCTGTTATCTTTTTAGCCTAGTTGACCTGTGTATATTCAGAATTATCTTTTTCTAAGACATAATTCTTATAAACTTTTGTAGTTTTTTTCTTGAGGGGCTTTGGTTTGGTCCTCCCTTCTTGTACCTTAATTTCTTCTTTTAGTTAATAATATTTTTCCAAATATAGAATTGATAATATCAGTGTCATTTTATTGATTTATGAACTGTTTTTTATAGCTCTTTGGACACACAAAGAATGTCCTTGTATGAATCTAAGGGCATCTTTTAGATAGTTTTGAGACACATATATGGTGTCCTAATATGGAATAGAAGACAACTTCTAAATAATGTGAGGACATATTTTAGGTGTCCTCTAATGGATTTAAGGATACATTTTGAAGAGATTTTGGTGTGTCCTCGTATAGAAAAGAAGACACTTTTTATGTGTCCTTATTTTGGACATTCCATGACTCCTTGATAGAGGACACTTTTGTTGAGTGTCCTTGTATATAATAAATGACTCTTTTTAAGTGTCTTCAAATCACATTTTTCTTGTAGTGAGTATTTTTTCAAACTGCACCCGGTACTTTTAGAGGCCCTATTCTTAGTAGGGTGAAAGATCAAAGTAGGACTAAAATATTGAATAAATACCAAAATAGGAATTTCATGTTTTTATTTCCGAAATAGGACTTACATTACCAAACATGGTCATGTATATTACCAAAAATGCATAATAATGTGCACGTGCACACTGCCACATTATCATAGTGCAAAATCCTATTTCGAGAAAAAAAACATAAAAGTCCTATTTTGGTACTTTTCCATATGTTTTAGTCCTATTTAGGGTGATTTTTATTCTTAGTATAGATGCCTTCCAGCATAAATATCGGGAATCAAACTCAGATTTACCCCTTGGCATTACTTGTCTTTGGCAGCTACACAACACTTACTGGCTTAGGAGTTTATTTCTCTAATTCATCAATGAAAGGAGTACACCCACAAAAAAATTCATTCGTAGGAAATACTCTAGAGTATCTGTTAATAAAAATAATAATCTAGATTATCTCTTAATAAAAAAGAAAATTTTGTTCCATATAGAACTAAAGTGTATTGTGTTCCCTGAACGGGATCAAGTATGTTTTATCCCCTTTATGACACATAATTTCATATGATCTGTCATATATACCATCTTTAGCAACAAATGTTAGATAATGACTACTTATACAAATGACTGATGACTCTACGAATGCGATCATTAGTAATAAGTGTTGGATAATGACGGATTCTTTCAATGAGTATTCAAATTATTACTAATAATGTCTTATTCTACTTGAATTGTAAAGTAAGTAATTTTTATCAAAGATAGAACATTGTAGAACTTTCCATTGTATAACGTTGGATTAGATATGACTAGTCTAATTTTGAGAAAAGTGATACTTCATAAGTTTAAGTCTTATTTGCATAAATTACCCAATAAAAATGCCAAACTCACGGTTTGTTTGGACAACGGAATTAAATAGAGTGAATGAAAATGAAAAGAAAGAAAATAAGAGAAAAGAGAAAATGAAAAGTAAACTACTAGCATTTGAATAGATAAAAAAAGTAAGAGAAAATGTAGGGAAAGAGAAGAAAACACAAGAAAAGAAATTGGATGAAGCTCCATTATTTGTTCCTTCATCTTCCTCACATTTTATTCTCAATTGTGAAGAGAAAATTTTTGGGGTGGGTGCCACTTTTTTCGCTAGTATCTTCATGTTTTCTTTATCCTAATAAAAAAAATGTTTTCTCTTCATCACTTTTCTTTTCATCTATCTCTATTTCCACCCATCCAAACATGGGCATAAGTCAACACTCTTATAATTGATATATGGGAAAGAAAGAGAAAATGATTGTTTAATAACTTTAATTAGCTAATGGCCATTTGTTCCCTCCATAATTTGATTTTTTGAGATTTAATATACATTCATTTAATGAGCCTTGTCGTTTGGTTTAGCTTAATACTCCCTCCGTCCGGAAATATTCTTTCCGTGTTGACTTGGCACGCTTATTAAGAAATAGTAAAAAAAATGCAAAATTTTCAAAAATGCACATACTATAAACTTTTAAATCTCCTTTTATTATTAAAAAAGTACTAAAAAAGTAGATTTGTAATAAAATAGAAGGGTATTATTGATATTTAGCCTTAAAAAGCATACTAAAAAAAGAAATGGGAAGATTATTTCTGGACGGACCAAAAAGGAAAGTGGGAAGAATATTTCCGGACGGAAGGAGTATTTGTGATTTGTCAACTTTTCTACTTTTGTTTTGTTTGTTTGGTTACTGATATTTTATCCTCTTAGGTTTATTAACACTTGGATTAAGTGAAATTTGTACTAAATAGCAGGGTCGGCCCAATAGGGGGACAAGGTATCTGCCCGAGCCGGGCCCAATAATTTTAGGGGCACCAATTTTTTTAAAAGTATTATGTATATATATAGATTAGTCATCTCAAACCTCTCACCCTATAGACAAAAAAAATGATATGAATTCGTCATCTCAAACCTCTCTCACACAATATGAACTCTCTATGAAGAGTATATGAAGAGATACAATGAAAGCCTTATGTTATACACAAATGATATGAATGAATTGATAATGAATGAGAGTTGTTCAACTAAAAACACAACCAAATGCCTCTATTTATAGGGGTTAAAGATGGGTGACCATTGCAAAACAGTCCAGAATAGATTAGTCAAAGATTTGGAGAATTCAAAATATGAATTACAAGAAAAAGCTTAGAACATCAATGTTTTGCCATGAACATCGCGGTTTTGAGGTTTGACTTTCTTTTGAGATGTCTAACGGTCATGAGAACATTGATGTTTTGAAGGCTACATCGATGTTGGGGTTATCGAGTTTCAAAAATAGAAAGATTTTGTCTTAAAGACCCTAACGACCATTTGAAAATATCGATGTTCACCAGTGAACACCGCTATTCAAAAACCTACTGCCAAAACTAGACGTGAGCCTACCTTGCCAAAACATGGATGTTCAAAGTCCAACATCGACGTTTTGAAACCTACTGCCATGGCCAAAACATTGATGTTCAAAGTCTAACACTGATGTTAGGTCTAGACGCCAGAACTATGGTTTGGTAGCCCACACTAAAAATCAATGTTAAAAATCAAAGTTACCCAAATTAAAAGTCAAGTGTTTGAAACACTTATTTCATGTATTTAATATAGAAACCAAGTATAAAAACTTTAAAACCACGTCGTTAAGGTGAAAATCACGAATCACCAAGTTAAAAGCATTGTTCATGATTTTTGACCAAACACCAAAGACCAAAGGTAGTTTTTAGAAAATTTTTATTAGGAAACCATTTAAATGTTCCTACAAGTAAAAACGAGTCATAAAAATTTGAAAACTACTTGGTTGATTCGAACACCGAAAACCATAGCCGAAGACCATAACCAGAAATTGAAGGTTATGGTTTTTAAAAATTCAAAGTTTGGAAAACCTTTAATTGTGCCTAGAAGTAAAAACCAAAGATAAAAACTCGAAAACCATTTGGATAAAATCAATGCCAAGATGCAAGTATGGATCATGGTTTTTATGCATATGAAAATTGACTTGAGTTGAGCCAAAATTCAAGATAACTTAAACTGTTAGCGTATATTATGTATGGGTATTAGTTTATGTATATCCTGTACCATGGTGGGCCTATCTTATTGGGCTTGTAACTGTAACTTGTATATATATCCCCCGGTATCAATGAAACAACCAAGTCATTCACTTTACCAAATTCTACATGGTATCAGAGCATCTTTCTTGGGATTTTCCTTAATTTGTCCGTTCCGATCGGCCGTCCCAGTCCCCTTCCGATCGGCAGTCCCTGTTTGTCATTCCCAATTGTTTAATTTCAGTCAGATTCTATACTCCAAATTCAGATCGACCGTCCCTATCCTATCTGTGTTTTCGTCGATCGCCGGTTCTGTTCACTTCATCCGCAGATTCAGGCAGCGATTGTCCAAATTTCTGATCGCCGGTAAATCAGGTCGGTTGATTTCAGAACGCCGGCCCTCTCTCGTTACAATACCAGCCGATCGCGCTAGTCCAGCGAAGGCCGTCCAAAGCTCGTCCAGTTGCTTTGTCGGCAGAGTTTTCTCCTTCAATTTTGGTTTGTCGACAGAGTTGGTTTTGCCCTCGCCTAACCCTAAAAAAAAATCACATACCATGGCAGCCAAATTAAGTGGGGATAAAATGATTTGGTTAATGTCTGTGATTGATTCTTCTTCGTCCAATCAAATGAATGGTATGACTTCTACATCTTATGATTGGATTATCGATAGCAGTGCTTCACATCATATGACAGGCACTTTATCCCACATGTATAATATTGAGGATGTTTTCTCTCATCCTATTTGTCTCCCCGATGGCTCCCGGATTCAGGCCACTAAAAAGGGAAGTGTCCGTGTGACACCTAGTCTTGTTCTTCATCATGTATTTTTTGTCCCCTCCTTGCATTGTCATTTGATTTCTGTCGGGTGTTTGATTCGAGACACCACTTGTTATGTGACTTTTAATGATTTTAGTTGTGTAATACAGGACCGTTCGTCGAAGATGGTGATTGGACATGGTGAAAAGCGAAACGGAGTATACATCCTGGTTTCTTCCTCTGCGTCGGCTAATGTGGCTAACGTGGATCCTTTGCTTCTTCATCAACGTTTAGGTCATCCTTCCTCAGATATTATTTCCCTTTTAAAGTCTAATAAGTCTGCTTCTGTTGTCAAGAAACTTCAAACTTGTGAGATTTGTTTTTTGTCTAAACAAACTCGTTCTCCCTTTCCTGTTAGTCATAATAAAGCTGAAGCAATTGTTGATTTAATTCATTGTGATTTATGGGGTCCTTATTCTCCTTGTTTGTCATCTGGTGCTCATTATTTTCTCACAATTGTTGATGATTTTTCTCGTGCTGTTTGGGTATATCTTATTCGTACTAAAAGTGAGGTAACAGCCTGTCTTAAACGGTTTTTTCCCATGATTCACACCTAATTCTCTAAAATCATCAAAGTAGTCCGGTTTGATAATGGCACCGAATTTCTCAATGCCCCTTTGCGTCAATATTATGATTCCATGGGTGTTTGTATCCAAACGTCGTGTGTTGGTACCCCTCAGCAAAATGGTCGAGTAGAACGAAAGCATCGTCACATTCTCAAAGTTGCTCGTTCTCTCATGTTTCAAGCGTCTCTTCTAGTTGAATTTTGGGGGGAATGTGTCAAAACTGCTGTCTATTTAATTAATCGCACACCGACAAAACTCTTGGGTGGGAAATCTCCTCTTGAAGTACTCTCGTCCAAACCACAAGATTTGAGTCATCTCCGGGTTTTTGGTTGTCTCTGTTTTGTCCGTCAAACACCTAAACCCCTAAACAAATTTTCTCCCCGTAGCGTGAAATGCATGTTTATTGGGTATCCCTATGGCACAAAAGGGTGGCGGGTGTATAACTTGGACACTCACCAATTTTTTCACGCTAGGGATGTCGTGTTTGATGAATCACAATTCCCATTCTCTGTTCCAAACACCACCAATTCCGTCCAACCCGTCTTAACCCCCGTCGACGTCGACTTTCCCGTCGTCTCTCCTCCGGCAGCCTCCATCGGTGACACTACCACCGAGCAGCCCGTCATCTCTCTGCCGTCTCACGTCCCAGTCCCGTCAACCGAACAGCACCCTCTTCCCCTCACTGTCCAGTCGACGGGCGAGTCTCCCTCGTCCGTCCCGTCTCCTTCTCCTTTACCTCCTCGCACACGTCGCCTCCCCACCCACCTCAATGACTATGTCCTCCATTCTGTGTCTACCGTCACTCCGTCTTCCTCTTCACCTAGCTCAGTCTCGTTTGGTACCCGGTTCCCGATTACTAACTATGTTCATTATGATAAGTTGCATAACAGGTACAAGGGCTTTGTTGGTGCTATAGATGCTTCCCAGGTTCCCACTTCTTACAGAGAAGCCGTCAGGTTTGCTTCTTGGAGGGACGCTATGGCACAGGAATTCAATGCATTGGAGCGTAATCATACCTGGGAGATTACTGATTTACCTCCTAATCGGCGGGCCCTTGGCTGTCAGTGGGTATATCGTACTAAATATCGGTCTAACGGTACTAAGGAGCGGGATAAAGCACGTCTGGTTGTCTTGGGAAATCATCAGGAGGTCGGGGTCGACTTCACTGATACATTTGCCCCCGTAGCCAAGTTGGCTACCGTTCGGGTGTTGTTGTCTGTCGCAGCTGCACGCGGATGGCAAGTTGACCAGCTGGATGTCAACAATGCCTTTTTACACGGGGATCTTAAGGATGAGATTTATATGAGGCTCCCACCTGGATACTCTCATTTGTTCCCTAGGAAAGTATGTCGTTTGCGAAAGTCTTTATATGGGCTCCGTCAGTCTCCCCGTAATTGGTTTGCCAAGCTTCGTCTAGCTTTGCGTCAGTATGGTTTTCGCCAGGCTCATGCAAATCATACTCTTTTTGTTCTTTGTCGTGGTCCTGATATACTTGTTGTTCTTGTTTATGTGGATGATATTCTTGTTGCAGGCAATAATCCCTCTTTGTGCACTTCTTTTAAGAAGATCTTGGACCGGTCTCTTATTTTCTGGGTATAGAGTGTGCTCGATCTTCTACTGGTATGGTGCTTAATCAGCGAAAATACACCTTGGACATTCTTCAGGAGCACAACCTCTCCGGATGCAAGCCTGCCGACACCCCACTGCCAGCAATCATAATCTAGCCCGTTCTACTAGTGCTGAGCTTCGGGATGCTGCCAAGTATCGTCGTCTTGTTGGCCGTTTGTTGTATTTGACTATCACTCGGCCGGATATCTTTTATGTTGTTCATGCCTTGTCTCAGTTTATGCACGCTCCACGTCTAGACCATTGGACCGCGGTTCTTCGTGTTCTCCGGTATCTTAAAGGGCATCCAGGACAGGGTATCCTCCTTCGTCGAGATAGTGACCTGACTTTGACGGCCTATTCAGATTCAGATTGGGCGAGTTGCCCGCTCACTCGTCGCTCTGTCACCTGTTATTTTGTCCTTCTTGGTGGGTCCCCTATCTCTTGGCGCACTAAGAAGCAAACTACAATGTTCCGTTCGTCTGCAGAGGCAGAGTACCGCGCCATGGCTAACGCCTGCGCTGAAATCAGGTGGCTCCGTGGTCTTTTGGCCGCTTTACAGGTCCCTTGTGTTGCTACTCCGCGTTTGTATTGTGATAATAAGTCTGCTCTCTTCATTGCGGCTAATCCGGTCTTTCATGAGCGTTCAAAACACATCGACATCGATTGTCATATCGTTCGGGAATGCCTACAGCGTGCTCATATAGTCACAGCTTATGTTCCTACGCGGCTGCAGACAGCTGATATCTTCACGAAGGCGCTCCCCGGTCCTCTTTTTCGTTCTCTTTTGTCCAAGTTGGGCATTTTTGATTTATATGCTCCAACTTGAGGGGGAGTGTTAGCGTATATTATGTATGGGTATTAGTTTATGTATATCATGTACCATGGTGGGCCTATCTTATTGGGCTTGTAACTGTAACTTGTATATATATCCCCCAGTATCAATGAAACAACCAAGTCATTCACTTTACCAAATTCTACATAAACGTTCCTGTTACATTAATTTCTACCTAAAGACCTTTATCTTGAAGTCTTTGGTCTTGAATTCTTGAGCACTTTTTTGATTTTCTTCACATCCTTAGCTTAATCTTCACTTCAAGCACATACTATTTGCCAAAAAAACTACTGCTAGGTACCTCTTATTTTTTGCAATAACGACTGCTGGTTACTTTTAGTTTTCAAAATATACTATGGGATACCTTAAAATATTGGTAAACTTACTCGCGGGCGACCTTTCATTCATCCCTCTCTTTGCTACTACTTTTCCATCATCCTGTTTTATCTTCGCCTTTCTTCTTCTCCTTCCAATCCAGCCTACATCCCCATTATTTTTCTTCTTATTATTTTTCTATTATTATTATTATTTAAATGGTGAAATCTCTAAAGAGAGAGATTCTATCATCATCATCATCATCATTATCATCATCTACTTCATTATTTAGAATGAAGAACAAAATGATACCAATGAATTAAATATTCTATCTAGGCACACACAGAGTACTAGGTATAAATTAAAGCTTATCATGATTATGCATAGATGATGCATTGAAGATTCCAGACAATGGAGTAGTTTTGGTCCGGAAGAGGGGGGGTGGGGTCGAACCAGGCTGGAAAAGGTACTCTTTGTCCCCTTTCCCTTTGATTGAAAGCCAGAGCCAGATGAATGGTCCAAGGTGAGGTGGAGTAATTAAGCAGCTGCCTTTTAGAACCTTAATGCTTTCGTTTCTGCAGAACTGGGATGCTTGTCCTGGTAGAAGTTGCCGGCGGAGGTTGGCATTATGACAGACATGAATATCATATCTGAGATTATTAGTGGACTAATTTTATATGTTGAATGTGGATGATGCATGTAAGATAGATAGGTTAAATGAAGGGGTTTCTAGAGCACTTATATATAGCTAAAAGCCGATGAGAGCTTGAAGAATCGAGGACGACGAGGTGGCGGTTCTTAACTCTTGGTGCACCTTTTTTAATAATGAAGTAGGAGGAAGATGAAGCATGATGATGATGATGATGATATATGATGGTGGTCTAAAGATGGTGTAGAAATGACGTGACGGAGCAAGTAGTAGCAAATGGTGGGATGGATAGAAAATCATCTCGAGTAAATTTTTGAATATTTTAAAATACTCCGTATTATATTTTAAAAACTAAAAATATCCGGCAAGCGCTATTACAAAATAGAGTGTACTTAGTAGTAATTTTTTGCACTATTTATTAAGACCACATGTTTTTCTTCATTACGGAGTATTTGTCAACCACAACATCTTGATTTCATGGTTTGTTATTCATCAAAACCTACACTTAGAAATCATGTTAAAATACCAATGGACATATTAATGATTTTGGACCGAAAGAATATTTGTAGTACTCCAATTCCTCCAAACGGCTCCTTAATATCCAGCACAATATAGAAAATCGAGGGAGAGAACTCAGAGAAGGCCCAAATGGCTTCTCCTTCTTCAGACCAGTCTAATTGAAGATATTTTTTTTTCAGACAAGAAAATAGATCGGCAAGAAGTCCATCGCCGTCCACATCAAGAAACAACTTCCGAGCTCTAAGAACAAGAACGCCACCGGAATTGCTCCTCCATCTCCAGAATGTTTCTCCCCTGTTCCACCGCCATTATCATGTTCACTATCTTGTCTCCGCTGGCCAGTGCCGCCTTCAACCTCACCCTTCCTCACCAACACCCCTTCCCTGAAGATGTAGTTCAAGATGTTCAAAGGTACGCAAGTTTTAGCCCAGCCATTGTTAACAGCCTTCAATTTGGTCCAATTGGAGCTTTTAAGCTTCTGAAAGTTTTCTCGATCTGGGTCTCAAAAGAAATTAAAGAAGAAGAAGAAGAAAGATTTTACTTCCATTATTTTCCTAATTGGACCAATAATTATTAACTCAGCCATTGTTAGCAGCTTTTAATTAGTTCAATTGCTCCAATTGGAACTTTTAAGTTTCTGAAAAAAACAATTCTCAATCTGGGTCTGGAAAGAAATTGAAGAAGAAGAAGAAAGGTTTTGCTAGTTCTATTAAATATTATAATAATTTCTCTGACTTTTTTAGCTAAAAGCGTGGTGTTTTTTTGGCTGTGGCATTTTCACGAACACTTACCGTGCAAATGTGAAATCTGCAGAAAAGTGAACGAATCAGTGCACAGAAGAAGAGTGCTGCTGTCGACGGGGGAAAAGGACCAATGCCTCACCGGAAACCCAATCGACGACTGCTGGCGGTGCGACGAGAACTGGGCCGACAACCGGCAGCGGCTGGCGGACTGCGGGATAGGGTTCGGGCAAGGGGCGATGGGCGGGAAAGGGGGCAAGATCTACGTGGTCACGGACTCGTCGGACGAAGACACGGTGGAGCCTCGGGCGGGGACGCTCCGGCACGCGGTGATCCAGGCGGAGCCGCTGTGGATCGTGTTCGGGGGGGACATGACCATCAGGCTGAAGCACGAGCTGATCTTCAACAGCTACAAGACGGTGGACGGGCGGGGCGCGGAGGTGAGAATCACCGGCGGCGGGTGCATCACGCTGCAGTACGTGAGCAACGTGATCATCCACGGGGTGCACGTGTACGGGTGCGTGCCGACGGGGAACACGGAGATACGGTCGAGC